AATTTTTAAAAAAGAAATTTGGCTGTCCGGAAGACTTAATCAACAGCCTCCTTGATAGGATGGACTCATTATCGATGCGATCCCAATCAATGAAGGACCAGAGGGTATTACTGGAACAGCTACAAGTGATTACAGAGCAGCTAAAAATGAAAGGAGAATACGTCGATAGTCAATGGTTCCTCAAGCAGGTGTTAGGCAAATTTTCGGTCGACGTACAACGCAGAGTATTGGAGCGAAAGCACACATTAGGAGAAGGCATGGCATTCAACATGGAAGCTCTGTACAGGATTATCGACGACGTGATATCAAATGAGGAAACTGTCGCACTGTACACCAAACGAACTAGCCAACCGGCAGAAATTCGGACAGAGAAGAAACAGAAGTCGCCGGTGCAGAATTCTCGAGTAGTTTGCATGTACTGTGCCGGTGAGCACAAGTCGCTTGTATGCCCGAAGTATAAGACACCACAAGAAAGGTCACAGTACTTAAGGGACCACAAGCTATGCCTTATCTGCGCTTCCCCCAGGCACCCCACAAAAGAGTGTAAGAAACGAATGTGCTTTCAATGTCAAGGACCACACCACACTTCCTGTTGCTTTAGAGGGCTAACGAGGGATGACCGAAAAAGTGACCCATTCCGCATTACACGAACCTCCTGGTAATAAAAGGCCAGCGAACCCAGCAGGTAAAAAAGGAGGCGGATCAGCAACCTCTAGAAAAGTGAATCACCTGACAGATGAAAAAGGGGGCAGCAAGAGAAATCAGTCTTGAGCTGCAAACTGGTCAAGAAAACATTCATGCACAAGTTTACCTTCTTACAGGCGAGTTAACAATTATGGACCCAGCCACCAGAGAGTTGAAGAAAGTTTCCGTTCTATTAGATACGGGAGCTGAACTTTCATTCATAGAACAGAAACTAGCTGAAGACCTGGGGCTGCCAACCCTTGAAGAAAGCTACGCTACACCTTGCGAACTTTCGGGAGTGACGAAATCCAAGTAAGAATATGTCGCAAGGTACCACTAGAGGTGTGGGATAAAGAGGGGAAGTGATATCCTCACGAAGGCATGCTCTCCGCCCCCACTATTAGAAACGGACATGAAATTCATTAACTCCCTTGGCATAGCAATTAACCTGAACAGGAACTCTGAGCCAACAGTCCCTAAAGTTCTCTTGGTGCGATAATATTGGCTACTCATGTCGGAATGAAACGGCATACAACGACTTCCATCTCGGGCTACAACTTCCACCATCTACTTGTCATTTGCTTACTGGGCAGTTGGAGTTACCGAAGCAATTAGGAAAAGCTAAGCAGAAGAACCCCATAGAAAACTGGGAAGCGTTAGGCTCAATCGATACTCAGGCGCATACAGTAACGCTGCAATATTGTAATGACGATAGCAATCTCACAGAAGAAGAATTGTTCACGCGATTTTGCACTTTGGAATCAGCCGGAAGCGAAGAATTTTCAAGCGCAGAACATAGTGTCCGCTCACAAATAGATCAACAAGTGTGGATAACTTTATCAAAACGGTGGAAAAACGAAAGGATGGATATTATGTTAGGTTGCCTTGGAAAGATATCAGCGTAGAATTGCCGGATGCTAAATCAATTGCTTATAAAAGACTTATAAGCCTGTGGAATTCCCTTAAAAAAGACGAAGAATTGCTCCGGCGTTACAACAGCGTCTTCCAAGAACAACTTTGTTCGAATATTATTGAAGAAGTGCAGCAAGAAGAACTTTTCGTCGGCAAGCGTATTCATTACATTCCCCACCAAATGGTTCTAACACCCCATAAAACGACAACCAAACTTCGAATTGTTTTCGATGCATCCGCGCACTTCAGTGATTGTCCATCCTTGAATGACATGCTCCACCGGGGACCAGTAATTCCTCCCTAAACTTTACGGTCTTCTTCTGCGCTTTCGCATTGGTCAATTCGCGCTAATCGCTGATGTTGAGAAGGCATTTCTGCAAGTTAGAGGACAGAGATGCTGCTAGATGTCTGTGGTTGCGAGACTGTAAGCTACCACCATCTAAGGAGAATATACGAGTGTTCAGGTTCACTCGTATAACTTTCGGTTTACTCCCATCGCCATTTCTCCTAGCCGCTACTACGCATTACCATCTCGATCAATACAATGACGATACCGGCCTAGTAGCACAAATCAAAGAAAATCTCTACGTAGATAATCTCCTTATAACTACGGACTCAGCACATGAGGCGGTCACTGCCTACAAGAGGACTAAGGCGATTTTCAATGATCTGCAGATGAATCTAAGAGAATTTGTTGCTAACGACTCAGTTATTGCAAAAGAGATCGCGGATAGCGACAGATCGACAGAAGATACTCCCAAAGTCTTGGGGATTAAGTGGGAACCCGTGGAGGACAAATTCGAAATTTCGTGTCACTTATCGATTGCAGGAAAGCTTACAAAACGTACAATCGCGAGCGCTGTTGCATCCGTCTACGACCCTATGGGTTGGTTGTCCCCTTTGATGCACAAGGCGAAACGGTTTTTGCAATCATTGTGGAAAGACCACTATGAATGGGATACAAGTCTTGATCAAACGAAAGAAGCAGAATGGAATAGTATTTGCTCAGAAATTGATGGGTTCCAAATAACGATTCCTCGTTGTGTAGTCAAGAAATCGTCTGATGACCACACTTCTAGTTTTCGCGGATGCTAGCTCAGAGGGAATAGCTTCCTGTGCATATTTGCGAGTGGAAGGCGCATGCCACCTCCTTATGGCTAAAGCAAAGTTACCATCGCTCAAGTCTAAATCAACGATGCCTAAAATGGAATTGAGTGCAATGATGTTGGCTCTGCGCCTCACTAATTCTATCTTAGAGCAAATCGGATCTACAGTGCACGTCAATGAGGTTTCAGTGTTCTCAGACTCGGAGATAGTGCTCAATTGGGTTACTTCACAGTTACGCCACGATGTGGGTCCTTTTATAAAAAAACCGTGTGATGGAAATTCACAGCATAATCAGTCACCTCAAGAAAAATGGGTACAAGGTTATGGTAGGCCACATCGTGTCGACGTCAAACCCAGCCGATTGTGCTACAAGGGGTCTTACGAAAGATACACTGGCGGGTTTCTGGTGGTCAGGCCCATTGTCTCTTACAAGTGATGAGGTTAGGTGGTACTCCCTCCCATCAGGAACTGAGCGCAATACCAATGACATGGACGGTGCTGAACAGGGATCCTATGCGCTTTTGCTGACTAAACCAATGAGGGACGATATTTTTGCTCCCCTGCAGCATTTCTCCTTCAGTGAGATGAAGAGGATTGTTTCATTCGTCTAAAATTTATTAAGAACGTAGTGAGACACTAAACAAACGGCGAAGCACCCCATTAATTCTCTCAGAAATTCTCGGGGACGAAAATCCGGGGAGCAACGGTCTGACGGGAATAAGTGGTAGTGAAGTCGCACTGGCAGGAACACTCATAATAAAGCAGCATCAAATCTCTCACTCAACGCAAGAGATAATACGATCGCTGGACCATTTAAACGTGCGACTGGATCAATATGGCGTATTACGATGTTTCGGCAGAATGGGGAAGAGCTGTCTGGAAGAGCCAGCGAAATATCCCATCTAGTACTCCAAAATTCATGGCTTTCAAAAAAGATTATTTCCGATTGCCACCAGCAAAACCGTCCGGGCATAAGCCACACGATGGCCAGAGTACGAGAGCAATACTGGATTCCTAAATTGCGCGCACAAGTTACAAAGATAATACGTCGATGCGTAACATGCCAAAAGTTCAACAATTTACCGTTCAAGTATCCCGAGCAAGGAGACCTCCCATCGCGACGCGTACAGAAATGTAGGCCGTTTGCACATGTGGGTCTCGATTACTTTGGACCGCTTCACATGGCGCAAGAAAATGGTGAGCCAGGAAAGATATACGGGTGCATCATTACCTGTTTAGTGACACGGCTAGTACATCTCGACATTGTGATAGACATGTCTACAGCTGCATTCCTTCGAATGTTACGGCGATTTTTCTCGAGGCGAGGGACACCACTAACAATTACATGTGACAATTCACCCACGTTTACTCTAGGTGAATCAGTTTTGTCTGAAATTTATGAAAAGGCTAAAAAAGACGGGAAGCTCTCAAGAGAGGTCAGTGCCAGAGAAATCGAGTGGAAGTATATCACTCTGTATGCGCCCTGGCAAGGGGGAGTGTATGAGCGGTTGATCAAGTCTGTTAAGTTAGCACTCTTCAAAACGCTGGGAAAGTCACTGCTACCCTACGAAGAACTTTTGACGGTAATCATAGAAGTGGAAAGCCTGTTGAACACAAGACCTCTCACGTACGTAGAGTCCGACGACAATATCGAGCAAATACTGAGACCAATTGATTTCTTACAAAGCGAATTTGAATGTCCCATTCCTCTCGATTCATCATAGGAAGAATGCAAGGATCTAACGTAAAGGTCATCAGAGGAGCAGCAGAGATTGCGAACAAAATTGGAAGTGATCAAAGCACAACAGAGCTCCTGCAAGTTGACGGAAAGATTCTGGAATATGTGGAAGGCACAATATCTCACATCTTTGCGGGAAGCCCATCAGCGGCAAGCGGTTAAGCAGAAGGGATCCACTTACGTTCCGGAAGTAGGAAAGATTGTGCTCATTAACGATGCTGTGTAGCCACGACATGCTTGGAAAATGGGTAAGATAGTAGAATTAAAAGCAAATACTGAAGGAGTCGTAAGAGAAGCAGTAGTAATGCTACCGTCACGAAGAAGGTTACGACGTCCTCTAAACCTACTGGTTTACCTTGGAATTGGGCGATGATGCTCCTACAACACAAATGGAACAAGATAGCACTGAAAGTAAGACCCTTACAGGACGCTCTGAAAACGACCAACAGTCACGTTACCATCTTCGCCCACGGAAAGCTGTCAGCTACAAAGAAAACGACATATCGCCCTCTTTGATAAACCCACTCATGGGTGATCACAATAATAACGCTCACGCCTCATGACCACCTGCGCAGCAACCGTTAATAATCCCGATCTTCGTTTGAACTCTAGTGCACATTTCGTTCGCTGTTTAGAAGGTGGAGTGGAACTCATTTCGTCAGTCCAAACCCCGTACGAGATTTGTGCAGACGATTTCTGTACAGCACTTTGGAACCCGCGGATGGAAGGAAGTAATCAAATTCCCCGCTTCAGTAATCCTGGAAGAACATAAGGTTCAGTGGAAGTTTCTTCAAGGTTCTGCAATCAGAGTTATTGAAACCGTGTGTCCGCCAGCTCCATTTTGCAAAAGTATAGACTGCACTTTTTGCACCACTTTGATTTTCAATCCGGAATGCTGGCCAATGGGCGCAATCATGGCTACCATGATGATGATCTACTTCTTCTTCACAGGGTGCTATGTATTTCTATACGTACCAGTCGTCGTAGGACGCCCATTGAGAATTTTGTTGGGTTGGCTGATCAATTTGGTGAGGTGCGGTGTTAGGGGTTTCCTCCGACCTCATTATGAGACAGGGAAATGGGAGGTCCAAAAAACCTGACACCGACATAGCCTTGCTGCTGGCAGTGAGCTTTTCAATCGTGACGTCAACAATAGAGAGCTGCCAAGCTAGTAGATATATTTTCCCATCAATCTAAGATCTGTAGAGAAGCCGAAGGAGAGCGAGACTGCGATATTCACTTGTCAGAGATTCTAAAAATTAACCCTTTCAAGCGGGAAGCATGCTTCAAGTTGGTGCGCAACAATACGGCAATCCATCGAGTTTCGAATGGTGTGGATGAACCTTCGTTGACATGCGAGCGTGAAACAGAAATGTTCACTCGAGATATGGAATACCACGTGGTGGACAGCAAGCGATGTCCACATACAGGATCCTGTGTTGGGAGAAAAATGCGCGCGGATTCAATAGTTCAAGTTTGATTCCAGAGTTACAAGAAGGGAATCCGTATCCAGGAGTCACTGCTTGCGTAGAGTCATGCGGGGGTCCCGGTTGTGATTGTTTTTATTGGAGTTCGGGTTGCTTATTTTATCGGATTTATCTTAAAGCCTTCTTCCTCGAAAGGTTTATGAAATCTTCAGGTGCACGCGATGGAGAGAATCAGCAAAGGTCAAGATAACTCATGTCGATGCTCTCACAAAAACAGAATCCTTCATCATAGATATGGAACCGAACGTACCCATCAAGGTGAAGGCTATGACACTCACTCTGAGTTCAGTTACTATACCGCCGCTACCCATACTAAATACGCCGTTCATTTCGGACGGAATGAGCACGGCCCTTTGGGACTCAAATATGGCTCCACCCCTGCAGTGTGACAATGAGCGGGCAGCAAAGGAACTCGTTTGTGCAGTGGAAGAGGACTGCGCATGCTACCCGGCAGAAACAAGAGCGAATTGTAAATGTAAACATGTCAATATTTCGGAGTGGCTCCAGAATGTGCAACACCATTTGCCGGTAATTCTTCCATCAGTTACCTTCAGAGAAGCCAGCGGGGTGGTTCAAGCCATTATTCCAGCAATGACCACAGCAGAGATTATCCTCAACTTACAAGATCAATTGCAAACAGAAGTCTCTTTGGAAAAAACTCTATGCGTTGTTCAAAACACGACCATAAGGGGGTGTTATAACTGCGCGAAAGGAGCTCAAACGCAAATTACCTGCACTTCACCAATCCCTACACAGGCTGAAATCACGTGTGGACAGTTTAGTTTTACTGTTCCATGCGACAGAGAGGGAATGGCGTCAACCTTGCGACTCAGCGTAAGCAACGCGAGAATACATCTCATGTGTTCGGTATCTTGTGGAGGAAGGATTTCAAGTTTTGAAGTGACTGGCGTTCTTAAATTTACCCACACTACTCATTCACTATTGGATAGATGGGTTAATGGGAAAACCAAAGGTACCTCCGAAATCCAATGGCCTGATTTCTTCCACATCGCCGACGTATTTTTACAGTGGTACAAAACGTTGTTGGTCGCAATATGCCTACTAGGCTTATTCTTAACGGTCACGTACCTCTATGTATCGAGTTGTGGACTACGTTGCCTATGGCTAATCATATCTTCAATGACGCGGATATTACGCCAGTTTTTTCGAGCTGTGTTATGCTACCCGTGGAAATACAGCATGCGATTTGCGCAGAAAATGCATAACAAAATCCTGTGAGATGCGAGCTAGAAAATTCACAAAGAGTAAACAAGATTTTAGTCAAGGTCACAAGTTAATCCCCAGTAATGGTAGATCAATTATTTTCATTAGAAAATTTGTATTTAGCATGTCTTCTGAAGCCGACGGAGACCTAACACCCCTGGCACTTCTGTATGGAAATGGATATCTGACGGAGGATCAAGTAGAAATGGATCTGATGGTTGGTGCTGCAGTTGCTGCATCAACAAGTAGAGGCGGCTACAACGCTGGTGATGCATGTCTGCCAACACAGAACTTCGACCGACACGCCAACACATGAAGGGAGTCAAGTGGGCAGCTACTTGCGCAATGCAATGGTTATCAAAGAGAAAATACTGCGCCTGGGGACTCGGTATGTATTATCGGATTTGTTGTACGACCGTGCAGTCCTAATGGGTACACTATCACCAAAGGCGCAGGGATCAGTGGCTGGAGAACAGAATGCCCTTCGACGTGCGAGGTACGGAGGTTCTGGTAATGGTTGATAGACAAGCGAGAGTCCTAAGTCAGTCAGCATCACAAATATGGAAGCGCGGGTAGGAGATGCAGATCAGCGAGCCCGTGAGAATCATCGAGAACTACTATCACGCTCAGCAGTAGTAGAAATAGTTCAGCAAGAACTACAACGAAGGGAGTCAGACCAGGATTCCAGTGCCACCCTCAAAGAACTAAAGGAGAAACTGAGAAAACAGGAAATTGAAATGGTTCAGCTCATTGAGAAAATTGACACTATGGAACAGGCTAGGCAGGCTCAAGAAACCCCGGATAGATCGGTCTTCGTCAATGATGAAGAAGGAACAACATCTTTGCAGGTTCAAGTGAAGAACAGTAACGTCACAATGGAATGCTTCAAGAGTCATCCGAAAACGCTGATGACTGTGAATACTTCTTGCGCATGCTTCAAGAAGTGACTGAGCAAAGCCCTTCGCCGCCACCACACAACGAAAACCCACCAATAAAAAAGCAAAAATGGACGACGGAAACAGACGAGTATGCAGAAGAAGAGGCAAAGATACGCGCAAAGCTTGAGCGCATGCTAGATGAAATTAAATACTTCCCCTCCAGACGCTTAGGGGAGTCATCACGAGGGATCGAGCACTGGGTGAGGTGCGCTTTCTGCGACGCGGTGGCGCAACATTACAGCGATTCATGCCCAGAAGTTCCGCAGGGGATGAGAGACTTCGCATTCTTTATAGGAAAGGGCTTTGCAAACAATGCCTACAGTATTGCACAAGTGATTATCAATGTCGCTCACGCAGTAGGGAATGTTGGTATTGCAAAAAGCTCAAAGACAGTAGCTTTGCAGAGTTGCTGCCTAGGGATCATGGCGAGCATCATAGGGCAGTGTGCAGCGTGCCAGAGAAAAAACGCGAATGCTGAAGAAATCATCGATGAGCTGCAGGCGCAACTATTCGAGATTATGAGATTGCGCGATCAGCGCTTCAGGAATGCATGAGAAGGGCACTTTGCTCGCCGGGAATGTCGCAAAGAGCGACCATCAAACAGATTGTTGGAATATGAAGCATGATTCATAGATTACTAAGATTATAGTTCGTTTTCCACTGTTGTGTCACGTATATCAGATCAGAAGGCTCTTTCCCAGGCAGCTTTCTATGCTGGAATGCGCGAGATCGCTCTTATCTTTCAGTTGGCACGTTATCCAATGAGTTTCGCAGAAGCTTCGATAGAACGGACGATAGAATGGAATCCAAAGAATGCGGTCATACCAGTATAAAAACCTGCTGACTGGAAAGAAGATGTGCTCATTTTTCTCTTAGTCTGCTCTGGGGAACCTAGGCAAAAAAGGGGAAGATTTTTGGTGGGAAACGAAATTTCTCTTGTGAAACTTGAGTTTCATGATCATGGTCGATTGATTATTTGTTGATTTATTATTTATAGTTAATAAATGGTTTAATTACCCAAGTTTGAGGCCTGCACCCTACACCGCGTGGCAACACAAGGGCAGAATCGGTGGTCAAGCGAAGTATCCAAGTTTCGGGCAAAAGAGAAGTCTTGCGAGCGTAAATAGATGGCTCCAGGCCGCCCTCTTGTGTTCCACTAATTATGTCAACAATTCCATGGTACCGTCATCAATCCGAAAAGGAATGCTTTTAATTAATATAAAAAAAAAAAAAAAAAAAAAAAAAAAAAAAAAAAAAAAAAAAAAAAAAAAAAAAAAAAAAAAAAAAAAAAAAAAAAAAAAAAAAAAAAAAAAACAAGCTCTACCATTCAGTGGATCGTCCCGCCGCATTTTCCTTCATTACGAGTCCCGCCGGTGATCACCAATAACAAATGTCAACGACAGTAGGACTAGTCGTCGAAGTACTGTAACCGCTTGCGGTACACAATTGCACGGGTCGAGAGGGATCCGAATCTGCTTTCACTATCTGCTAAATTCTCCTCTGAAACGAGTTACGGAGGGTTTTTAATGCCTCCCTTGATTTTCAGTGTCTTGCTTGCAATCACATGTCAGCTCCATTATAAAAACCACAAAATGAAAAACAAGCACCGACGGTGCGAGCTCCGGTAGCGCAGTTAGTGGCGGTCCTGCTTCTCAAGAAGGGGGCTACGGGTTTGGTTCCTTCCAGAGTTTGGTGTTTTGCTTTTTTCAACACAGCTGAAAAGCCTTTTTGAAGTCCCGTATTTCATCAACGATCGCTCGACGCTACATCTACGAAGAGTTTGCAAGCAGATCCTCTTAAGTTCAAGCACTACATCTCTGTGAGTGTCCATAGTGCCCGTTGTGCAGGTGCTATGCTTTTCCGTTCCGTCCGTAGGTACGATATTCGTAATCAGGGGATTAAACTACTTCTAAATACGAGATTTTCGCCAAATCTGAGGTCCTGAACTAATTGAGAAAAAGCGGAGCAGTGATGGGATTACCACTCCTCAAACTCCACTTTTTTGGGTTGACCAATCATGGACGACGGGGGAGAGGGGAGAGAAGGGGTTGTATTAGGAAATAATGCCTTGTAGATCTTGGATGATGCAGACGGGCAAGCCAGACACAATTTTTACTCTATTGTAATAAGTGTTTAAGAAGGTTTGTACCACCCCAATATCAGCTTTTTGTAATAGATTGGTGGACAAGTAAGTGACTGCCTATGTTTTCGAGGTTGCGTCAAAATTTCAGAATTGGCTAGAAGTTTGCCCAAAGGGAGAGTCTGACTCCCTGATTACGAATATCATACTTGTTCGAAGCAAAAATGCCTGGCGCCTGCGCTACAAAGCGCCCTAAAGTAGTGAGAGAGACGGCGCACTCAAGTTGCGTTTTTAAATGCCCTTAAATTCTTTGTACGGTTAGCAATACGCAAGCATGTTGGACTAGCGATGTTAGGAATCTTCCTAGCTATCTTACTGCAAACGGCAAAAGAACAAACTCGCCAAGGAGTCGATCCCCTGACCTCTTTTTCGTGAGCCTCGACCACTGCCCCTGCGCTTTTCTGCTTCATAATTCCTTTCAGAGAAGAGTTCAGCAGATAAGGAACGCATATTTGAGCTCAGCGTCCCGTATAAGACATATAACTATATCAAATTTCAATTGGCCAGATTGGACCACCCCATGACCTTTCCTGTTTCCTGATCGCGACCAAACCAGCGAGAGGGCGCAGACAAATAGAAAGTAGACGCCAAATGGCGTCAACGCCAAATAAATGTCATATTAATCATCAAGACCAGGCTCAACCGTCCGTTCGCGCTATTCGAACGAGGGGTCGCATTTTGGTCGACCGAGGGAGGGGTGCAATCTCGAGAGGGAGGCCTATAGCATCTTTCAACGCGTTGCAGAGCATTTTAACACGTTGACGACCGCGCTATTTTTCGCTGTCTGGCGTGTGGGACCGCGCGCATTATTTTGACCGCGCGAGTGTGACATGGCATCATGTCACACGGTCCCACGAGAACTCCTTTTTCTCAGGAAGTGTGTATTTGTTATCTTTCTTGTGTGGTAGGTCTCCGATTATGCGATTTTGGCCATTTTAGCGATTCCTGTGATTTGATCATTATTCAAACATTTTTAGAAAAACTCGATAGCCCATCAACCGAAGCTTCTTTCCAGGGACCACGCCTTTTGTAACAATGCCTAAGTATGGCGCATACATCACGTAAATAAGTTACCTAAAATGTTTGAAAACCAGCTTAAAAAAGACTGTGACATGACATCATGTCACACGGTCCCACGTGGCCGAAAGAGTGTGGTATGACATCATACCACACGGTCGTCAACGTGTTAAAGGGGCAGTAGTAATGAATCTTCTTCGAGCGTAGTTGTCTTTTCTTGTTTTTTTTAATAAGTCGTATTGTGTTGGTATGTGGATCGTTATTGATCGTTTCATTCCTTTCAAATCGCTGTCTTCTACAGCGTTTGGGATAAATAAATAATAAGTTTTGTCAAGCTGAGTACGGGAACGGGAACTTTCTTAGAAAATAGTGTCTCAGTGGACGCAGTTTCACGTGTTTTCCAAAACGCTCGTGACAGTCCATGTCTGGAAAATAAGAAATACGCTTTTGTGAAGAAGAAATCAGAGAGAAAAACGAGCCATTTTTTTGGAAAGTTTCGCCAAGTCGAGTGAAGTGGTGACACTTTTTTATCTGTGATATTTTGAAGTCTTTGACCATACTCCTGAATTTTTCTTCTCCACACGTGTTCGCTACAAAGTAAAACGATATGAGAAAGAAAAACATCAAGAGAAAAGGCATAAATCAAAAAAGACAGATGTCACCACTTCACGCGACTTGGCGAAACTCTAGGAAAAATGGCTCGTTTTTCTCTATGATTTCTTCTCACAGAAAATGAATTTTTACTTTCCGGACACTGAGTGCTTCAGAAAACCGTCTAGCTGCGCCCATTGAAGCATTAACTTCTGAAGAAATTTTGATTTCCGTACCCGGCTGATAAGGTGAATGAACCTACACAAGGAATGAATGATGAATCTAATGAATTACACAAGGAGTAGCTGGGATGCTTTGGCATGGAGCTTGAGTGCGCATTGCTCTTTCTAAGAAAGGTGCTTCGAGCGTGAGATGAAATCCCATCAAAATAGCCAGCTTCCTTATGAATCTCTGATAAACTCTTTGGTACTGATCGAGGATCGAAACGTTCCAAACATGGGGTGATCCCCTTATACATTGCCAAACTACAAATGCATTAGAATAGTATCGTGATCGCAATGAAAGGCTAGAACACGGCATGTTTCAGAAGTGTGAATTTGTGAAAACACGTTTTTCATTCAGCTTTATTTTCATTTACGTAAAGAAGGACGAGGTTAAAGATACGGTGAG